CTTTATAAATGTTTGCTGGATGCACTTTGTGGATTTTAACTGAAGCACTGTCTTAGTCTATGTAATGTATAATATGTGATAACTATAATAAAGTTGATTAAAAAGCCATCAAACTGTACAACTCCTCTCTCAGAGTGTCATTAGTCATTAAACTGGTTAATGTGCAAGAAGTTATTAAGTACAATACCCGGGTCAACGTGCACTTCACTGGATTATTATGTTATTCTTTGTAATTCACAATCTTAAAACTTCACTTTGTATATAAGCTCTTATTATTTTATTATATCTAGAGGCTTGTATTATATTTCTATTTCTATTTTTATTTTACTTTTTACTATATGTTTATACCTTACAATCATTTATATTCTATATATTGTGTTAGATATTGTATATAAGTAATATTCTTTAACGTTGTGTGAGTGGAACAACTGTTTCTCTCTGAGGATCAATAAAGTATTTCTGATTCTGATATTTGAAAACCTCAATAAAAAAATATATTTTAAAAAAGATTCATTACGCAAATACTTTCTCAATTAATCAGTTTGGTCAATAAAATGTTGCTATAATAATAATAATAATAATAATAATAATAATAATGCTTTATAAACCGTTTTTTAATACATTTGTTTAATGAAAAATGTGATGATTAAAATTGTTGCTGATTATTGTTATTATTAATATTCAGACATTATAGTTCTCACTTTATATTATTATCCAGTTGTTTCATAATTATATTTATAATAGTAACTTCTGTTGTTGTTCGGATGTTGAACACAAGGTGGCAGCAGCCGTTAACATCAGCACACTATCACTTAATTTGATGTTTTAAAACGAAATAAACATAAACTTACACATACTGAACCTTCTGAAAAGATTTATTTGTTTAGGAAAGTTTATAAAGTCAGAATTATGTTGGACAATAAAGTTTCTTCTTCAGTCTGTGAGCACTTTGTTTGTTTGTCTTTATTATAAACAGTAAACATGTGACAATATATAGTGAATATATCACTACAGGACATTTAGATCAATACACTTCTGTGTCAGACACAAAAGAAAAGAAACTTTAAAATCGAAATCAAAAATGTATTTATTTATTTGTGACAAAGACATTTCCCCAAATAGAAACTTTATTGACACAAACACTTGTCGCCTCCTTTATTGACCGTACAGAAGCACTGAAGCAGTTTTATTGAGTTATTCTGCAACTATTAATACGACATAATGACCTGCAATGAACTTTATTAGTAGTATATGACGGTTATTTGGTGTAAATAAATGTTTTTTCAGTCAATCAGCGTAGAATAAAATGAAAACAAACATTCAGACAAAAAGAAAAACTACTTGCACAGATTTATTTTACATTTAATTTACATTTATTTTAGTTCTTTACAGTCAGAAAGAAACAGAAACTTAATTCAAACATTACACAACACACTGAACCAGTGCTCAGTAAGGTAGACGACCTGTACGGTGGCCCTGAGGTGCCAAAATATTGGACCAAGCAAATAAAATAAATGTAAAACACAACATTAGACGCTTTGTGTTGAGACCATTTAACAAAGAATCAAATCAAACAGGCAAAAGAAGTCTACTGTCATTCAAATGTCGCCCATTTGTAGATGTTTTAATGATATATTGGCTATTTTTTATTACATTTAGAATTAAAATCATGGACGTTTTTGTGGGTTAAACTGCAGACTGTGTCAAGGTGAGCAGAAACAACCTGCGAGGCCATAAAGGGCTTCGGCGTTTACGACCCGCCACCATCATCAAACTTTCCATAAAGTGGAGTTTTATGGCCGTTGGCGGGTTAATGTTTACCTGAGGACAGGTGACAGGGGGAAACAGAAACAAGATGGACACCCAGTTCACACACAGTCCTCCTTATCTCGTCTCCTCCGTCCTTCTTTATTGTTTCTTGTTTCTTTTGTCTTTAGGAGAAAAATGTAAAGCTGAGCGACGCCTGGAGCGGTTTAATTAAAGTATTATTATTATTAATATCTCTGATTAATGTCGAGGAGTTTCTCTTTCACGTTTATTTTATTGTAATTGTTTTAAAACCTTTATTGCACTTTAATTTAATATAATTTGTAACATTTAACAGCAGCTGTATTACTTTGTTTTATTGTGGTAACACTGTTGGATGTTAAATAAAGTTAAACATGAACAGATAAAGATAGAGTCTGACCTGCTGCTGTACATTCAATAATAAACATGAAGCAGAGTTTCATGTTAACTATCAACAGTCAGAGTTTTCAGATTATAATATTGAATCAATTAATCAGAGAAAGAAGTCATTGTCAGTTTGTATTTATTATGTATTTATTATTATAAAGAAACCATTTGAACATTTTAATCGTATTTTTTCTTAAATGTTTTGTCATTTCTTTCTCAGGGTGAGTTCATGTTGTGTATTTTATTTTATTCATTATTATTTTTTGTTGTTGTTGTTTGTTTAAATGTTTAATGAACCACAGAAAGTAAACATTCACCTTGGTGGATAATTCAATCTATATTTAATTTAAATGGATAAATATGATTGTCAAATATTATGAACACTGATTCCTCTTTATGATCTACAATAATATTTTGATTTATTTAGATTTATTCTTAACGACACCGGGTCGGACTCCCCTTGAATTCAATGAAACGAGGCGGTTTTGTCCACAGGGGGCGCCACAATCAACTTTATTTTATAACACGAGTCAATTACTTAATTTCCACTGTAACTTTCTACGATGTATAAATTCATTAATTTCAGACTCTTTGTTTTTATCTTCAAATCACATTCAGCAACAAGAAGGTCAAAGGTCAGACTCATTAGATCCATTAATCTATTTAATAAATTAACCTTGAACCTTTAATATGCAGTTGTGTCAATGTGTTTCACTTCATTTATTTGATTTGTGAGATTTACAAGTAATAAAGTTGGAATTAATCTGATTTTAATAATAAAATGTTGGACAAATGCAAAAATGAGCTATAATTAAACAAAATCACAGAAACATGAATTTTCTAATCTAATAAATCTGCCTGATTAACTTGTTAAATTATTTATTATTGTTCAACTTTTAATCTCCTCCTCATTCATTAAACTGTGTGAAGTTTTAATTTGAAAACAGAACAACTGAAACAATTAACAGTAAAAAGGTTGTAATAAATAAAGTTAACCTTAATTTTAAGTCAAATAAAAATAGTAATGAAAAGGTTCATTTAATATTGAATAAATATGAATTTATATAAAGTTTGTTATTGTTGATTAAACCAGGAGCTGCTCTTAATATAACATCAATATAACATCAATATAATATCAATATAACATCAATATAATATCAATATAACATCAATCAAACACTTGAAAACACAAATACTCGTGTGATGAGAATTATTGTGGCTTTTATGTGATTTTACGGCAGCGAACTAAACTAAATACTCATCAGTGTAAAACAATAAATCTCCCATAAATCCATAAAGACGCAGATAATTCCTCTTCAGGAGGGAAACTGAGGGAAACTGAGGACAAGAGGACGGACGCTTCACCTGGACGGTTGCTGGTTGAAATCCCTGCAGCACAGTGCTCATCAGCAACGACAGAATCAAACTCACAGGGAACAGAACATTAATAGAACAACTCAGAGATTGTTTAATTCATGTTTAATTAGTGTTTCATTTAATTTCATTAATTTCATTTCATTTCATCATTCATTTAATCTGAAATTATCCCTCATTAAATGCAAGTTCGTTGCAGCTGAGTTAGCAGTTTAGCACTACAGGGTTCAGGTTGATTTTAAACAGGACGAGTTGAGACATTTTAACTTATATTGATCTAAATTTGATAAAGTGAATTTTAACGGCACTGAAGAGTTTAATCACAGTCACATGATTCAGTTTACGGCTCAAACAACTCGTATAATTAAAGATTGAGATGTAACAAGTATTTTTATCTGGTTTTATCTCCGTATTACGTAAACTGTGTTAATATTCGTAAATACAGGAACTTTTATTAATAAACTCTCGTGGTCACAAACATTTCTCCGTGAACCGGGAAGTGAAGCTGGCGTTCAGTTATGGCGAGCAGAAGAAGAGACGCCGTGTTGTTTTTCCCACCGCTCGCCTCTTCGCCAAACATATTCTTAAAAAGACCTTATTCATCAGCTCGTCACCGACGGCGCCCTCGTGTTTACCCGCGGCGTTTATGGTCACATTCACACACATTGATGCCATAAAGCCCTGAGAACCACGACACCTCGCCAACTGTACGCTGCTACGTGTGTGTGTGTGTTTAAAATGATTAACCTTTACGGCCCGTCAGCCTCCTCCGGCTCTGCTCGCCACTCGTAAAGGTTTCTGTCGTATCTTAAAAAAAAAACATCGTCGACTCAGGAAGCGACACACTGCGGATTCTTAAAAATGAGTTTTATTGATCTTTTCACACAGTTATCATCAATTATAATAACTTTAATAAATTATTATTGAACATCCGGGTACTTTGGCCTTGTGTTAAGCTCCGCCCCCTTTTGGGTGACAACAGTCCCTTTAATTTGACTGGCGGTAAATGTAAATTCTGTAAATGTCTTTGACAATCAAGCACCATAAAATAAGAATAGTGACTCTTTATTAACTGTTTCTGTCCAATGTGACATTTCTGTAAACTAATGTTTGTATTTATTAATCGATCTTTTTACTACGAGACCACAGAAGAAGAAAACAGGAGGGTTTATCTCCTGTTACTTTCTGCTGTAAAGGTTC